TTGGTTTGGATGATAAATTATTTGATCAACCTGTGCAGAACTAGTTTTCAGTAGTGCCCTTGTATGGCCTCAAGAAGCAATGAACTGAGGGGTCTTTAGGTTTGTTCCCTGCTGGTGTGGAAGCCAGAATGACCCCTCCCTGCCCTTGGATTTCAGAGCTTTCAAGGCTCCAGATAATTTAGAAGGGTTGGGAAGCTATAACAGGGAATTTGAATATACCTTGTTAATAAGGCATGGGGATGATTCAGTCACTAATGGGAAAAATAAGAGGTCTGACCATATGTAGGTTACCCCAAGTTTCTGAAGCAGTTTGTATTAATCATAGGCTATTTAGTTTAGAATCCTTGCTTTAGCCCTACAAATCTGATTCTTTATATGGTACTTTTACTGAGTTTTTAACAGTAGGTTTTTGATCTTGAGAAGATGAAACTGAACTTGAGAAGATGATCTATGATCTTGAGAAGTTAAAATTTTTACTGTCAGGAATACATATGAAGTGAAATATAGTTTTAAGAGTTTGTTTAATTGAAAAAGTTGGATGTTGGGGCACCTGGGTCAGTTAAGTGTCCAATTTTTGGTTTTGGCTCAGGTCATGATCTCAGGGTCGTGGAATTGAGCCCTGCATTGGGCTCTGTGCTCAGTATGGAGTCTCCTCTGGATTCTCTCTCTCCACGCCCTGTGTCCCTCCCCTGCTTGTGCATGTGTGTGCATGATCTCTCTTTCAAATAAATAAACCTAAAAAAAAGAGAAAGAAAAAATTGGACGTTTAAGTGTAAGGCTAAAACTAGTGATTAGGTGGACATCTGCTCTTGCCTGCCCAGTGTCCCTTTTCCTTTCTTTGGGAACTGAGCCCCTTCTTAGAGACATTTGTTCCATGTAGTTTAGGTGAGGTTCACTTCCTTATATATCTCTTTTCCTCTTATCAACCTCCCCAAGAGGTTGGATTCACACTTGACTAATCCGAGTATTCCCATTCCCTTGGCCACACTGAATGTGGGGCAGGGTTAGGCACATGGCCCCAGCTGAGGCAGTTTCTCTGAAGTTTCCTGTTGGAGTTGTTGAAAAGACTGTTCCATTCTCCCAAGGCTGCTAATCTTGTACTATGGGACTTAGGCTGTTGGCAGTATCTTGCCACTAAAAGGAGAATGCCAATTTAAAGAGAGAGAGTGATGAAACCTCAGTGATATATTGCTTTGAGACTTCTGAATCCACCCATGCCGGGAACCCCAGAGTTTTAGTTCCATGAGGTAATAATTCCCCTTCTTCCCCCACCTCCCCGAGCTTTTTTTTTCTTTGCTATGAATTTATAAATTAGTTTAAGTTAAGGTCATTTGTAACCAAAGGATTCTAATATAAGTAGTGAGCAATCTTCTGTATTATAGGCAGGGATCCAGTCTTTCAGATTTTAAAGATTTCCTGGAAGAATTGGTCAACTCTAACTTTGCTTAGCATCTATGACAGTATTCTAAAAATGGTCTAGTTTGTTCACTATCTGGTACTATTTAGCTCATCCTATAGCCATAGAAATCTATTGACAGAGCTTTTTCCTGGGCAAGGTCAGTCTTGGAAAGACAGCATGGAAAGAGAAGGTAATTAAGTAGACAGACCTCAAGGCAAACACTGAGGAAAACCTTTTCCCTTCGCAAATTCCGCCGCCTCTTAGTCTACAGACTCAGACTCATCACTTGCCTTCTTTTGCTCAAGGATATTTCTTGGGGATCAGTGGGGTAACATGTCCTCTGTCTCAAGTGTCAGAGATGGAAAGAGGAAGCATCTTAGCTTCCACAGGATGCCCCTGCTCAATATCTTGGGCAGTATGTTGATAAGGAGATCTGGATTTATAAAACTTATATGGAAAAACAAGTAGCCCAGCAGTCTGATGAAAAATAGGGTGGTGAAAAAGACGTATTGAAAAATCCTGAAAAGAGAAAGTCAGGAAACTGTTAACCAGGGGTTAGAAAACCAGAAACAAAATAAAACTTCTGCCTAAATGTATGTCTTGCTCCTCCTTAATATTCAAATGTCTTCCACTAATTGTTATCTTCATTACTGAAGAATTCCTTGTAAAGGCAGCTCCTTCCAGTATGCTGGCTTGTCTGTTACTCTCTTTCATCACCATGTTTTATTTCCTTTTAGCATTTATGACTATCTGAAATTATCTTGTTCTTTTATTTTTTTATTTTTGTTTTTGTTTTGTAAACTTGTTTACTGAAGCATTTATAAAAAGTTGTAACCCATCAGCAGGGTATGTGTTTCTGTGAATCTGTATTTCCCCAACACTTGATATCAAGAGGCTTTAAAAATTTTGCCAAGTGGATATAAAGTAATAGTCTTAATTTGCACTTCTCTGATGAACAATGATGCTGAACATCTGTTCACAGGTCTTATGTGCTTCCTCTTACCCATTTACTAGGTTGTTCGGGCTAGTCTTATTGATTTACAGGAGTTCTTTATATGTTCTTGATATCAACCCTTTTCCATTGTGTGTACTGGGAATATATTCGCTCCACCTTACAACTTTCACTTGCTCTAAGGTGTTAAAGAACAAAAGTTATTTTTTAAAAAGTCTAGTTTATCAATCTTTAATTAAACCACTACTGTTTGTCACTTATTTAAAGAACTGTTCCCTACATCAAGGCCTAAAAGATGCTCCTATTTTCTAGTAACAGTTTATGGTAGTTTAAAATATGTCCACACATTCTTTGGTATTACACCCTTCAAGAGGCTCTTCTGCCTTAGAGTGTGGCCTGGACTTACTGACTTGGTTCTAAAGAGTAGAGTGTCATGGAAGTGACAGTGAGTGGCTTGTTAGATTACATACTAAAGGCATTGCAGTTTGTTCCTTATTCCCAGGAGGAAGCCAGCTGTCATACTGTGAGGATACACAAGCAGCCTTGTGGAGAGCTCCATGTAAGGAGGAGCTGAGACCTCCTGCTAACAAGCAGTAAAATTTGCCAGAATATGAGTAAGCTACCTTGGAAATAGATCCTCCAGCCCATCCAGGCCTTCTACTGACTCTAATTTTGGCCAACATCTTAATTGCAACCTTATATCAGACCCTGAGCTAGAAACACCCAGCTAAGTGGCTCAAAGATTCCTAATCCACGGAAACCGTGAGATGATAAATGTTTGTTGCTTGAAGCCACTAAGCTTTGGGATAATTTTTTATGTGTCAGTACATAACTGATGCCAAGTTTTAAAGTTTTTTTTTTCTTTTTTTGGACATTTAGTCCTTAACACATCGATCCAATCTCATTTTTTCTCAACTGGTTAACTATTTTTTTTCCCTACCATGTTTCTTGAACAATTCTTCCTTTCCTCTCTGAAATACCACTGTCACATATCAGAGTTCTATATATGCACTGTTTCTATTTCATTGGCTGATTTTCCTATTCTTGTGACAATATCATTCTATTGTAATTACTGTAGCTTTATAGGAAGTTGTGATATCTAGAAGGGCATGTTCCCCACTCCTTGCTCTTCTTTAAATTGCCAGGGTTATTTTTGACTCTTTATTCTTCTACATAGAATATATTTTAGAGGGATGCCTGGGTGGCTCAGTGGTTGAGCATCTGCCTTTGGCTCAGGGTGTGATCCTGGAGTCTTGGGATCGAGTTCCGCATCAGGCTCCGTGCAGGGAGCCTGCTTCTCCTCTCTCTGCCTGTGTCTCTGCCTCTCTCTGTGTGTGTCTCATGAATAAATAAATAAAATCTTTTTTTTAAAAAAAATATATTTTAGAATAATTGTATTCAATTTAATTTAAAAAAAAAAACCCTTCTGGGCAGTTTGGTTGGAACTGAACTGAGTCTATCATCTGAAGAGAATTGATACATCTATGATACTATGGCTTTCTATCTATAATCATGGTATTTCTCTTCTTTCATTCATATTACTTTTAATGTTTCCAAATGAATTTCTATAAATTCCTCTGTGATGGTTCTGATTTCTTCTTTAGCTTATGTATTATTTTGGCCTTGTGGTTTTACTATGATTTGTGCAAGCGAATCTTTACTTTTTCTTTTCCTGTATTACCCTTGTCCAGCAGTGGTGGGCTGCCACCAGCTGAGGAATAAATTCCCTACATACCTCCACCTACCAGTGAAAAACAGATTCTTCCCCACTAGTTTCCTTAAGATTTTCTCTAGAACTGATCTTGGTGACAGGAGCCAGGGTCTGTTAGAGTATAGCATCTTGGTCAGAATTAGAATCAGAAAGCTTCATAAACTTCTTCCTAGTATTCTCCTTGAAACTAAACAGTATTTATGAGAAAGTTCTGGGATGACATTCCCAGAGAAAATCTTAGGAATAATTTAGCTTTCTTATCTCTTGGGCCAGACCCAATATACCAGTGGCTGACAGGATGTTGGAGCAGAGCAAGAGGAGAGACCTTTGTTGTTTGATATGAAGAACTAGACTTTTAGGGTGTTGTCAGGTTCTCTTCGGGATAATAACTCTCTTTTAAGGCAGACCGTTCTTCTCCTGGGAGCCCACGTGGGCAGTTCATGTGAGGCATTGATGTCAAACTATAGGTGAAGGCAGCCTGGAAGTTCTAGGGAAATTCTGCTGGCTATCCTGGGAACATTGTGTTTAGGGATATCCAAATATGTAACACTTATCTGGTATGAAGGGGTATCCCCCCTTAAGCAAACTTTATAGATAATTGGAGTAGCCTTTAAGCACCAATAATTTTAACCATTTTGGTGGAACTATTTCTAAATCTTATTTCATACCACTTTGAAAATATGCTTCTCTATTTCTTCTTAAACAAATTCTAGTGAACATAATCTGATCCTTGGGGCTTCATGAATGCCAATTTTATTTTGCTATCACAGTAATTCCCTCAGGACTAATATCCACTTGGTTATTTGAATCTTGAGCTCTTATTCAGTTTAACAAGTATTTTCCAGCAATTATTATGGGCTGGGTACGATCTTTCACAATCATCTTCTCTCTTATTTATGTTAGGCAAGGGGATACTTGAATTTGCAAGTTCTCTACTATTTCTAATGTAACATGTTGTTACTGTCACAAGATTTGAGGTAGCTACATCTCACACATAGTGTGAAAACCCTATTCATCATCTTATGAACCACAAAAAGATCCCCCCCCCATTCATAATCTACTGATGTCATTGGAGAACCAGATCCATCAAGCTAATTCAAATTGTTAAAGGGAAAAAGGAGTAAGTGTAAGTTTGCCATCTCTCTCTTAGGTGATAAAATTCCTGTTTCTGATTACTGCTAGACTATTGGCTTCTAAAACTGGAAAGTTGAGATTAGGAATTGTCTTTGGACAAGGAAGTCATACGTTAGAACTAACAAACATATGTAAAAAAAGTCATCAATGACATTAGTTTGTTGACTTCACTCTGGGTGTGTGTATGTATATAAGGGTCTCCTTGTCTAGACTTTGTTATTTGCCAGGATAGCTAAGTGGAACTCCCAGTTTTCCAGGAAGTTTATTCAATAATGTCTACTTACCTTTTACAGAACCATGTTCCCTTCTTTTGGAGAGAATGATCCTGGGAGAAGAAAGGATATGGATAAATAAGCAATTTCTGGAAGCTATCATCACTGTCAAATAACATTCAGTGAGCCAGTAGTTAATGTTATATTTAGATAATATCTTATAATTTTTTATATGCTGTTTAAACAGATGGAATTTTCAAAGACAACCATATATGCATGCGAGTGTGTATGTATGTGTAGTTTTATCACTTTTAAAATATATTGATAGGAATAAATGAAGGCATAAAAAGGTTGCCCAAGGTCATATAGCTAGCAAGTAGCAAGGCCAGGCTTGGAACCTGGGTCCTCTGAATATGCATTCAGGGCTCTTTCAACTACACTGTTACCTCCTACTTAACCAGTAACCTTTAAAGAACTTTACAGGCTATGAAAATCACACAAATATATTCTAAGAGAAATTTTAAAAGCTATAAAAAATGTAAAGATGAGGATGTATCCTGGATTTCTGTGGCGTCTCTCTTCCAAAATATTTTCTCAGTCATTTCATTTTCCTTTTAGCTTCCTTGTGAAAAAAAAAAAAAAACGAAGAGGAATTACAGTCACATTTTAAAATTGTGGAAATGACACGCACAGAATTGAAATTAGAAACTTTCTGCGTTACAAATTTGGTTCTATAGCTTGTGTGAGTTTAAGTGGCATGTCAACAGGCCAGTTGCTCAGGCAGACTCTGTAAAGATTGTTCGAACATTATAGGTCATTGAACCATCATGGGACTTCGGTAATCTTGATGAAGACAACTCTGCTTTTTCTTTGAGAGGTGGTGAGAAGGAATACTTTGATGAGTCACTAAGGGGTAGATGGTGGGATATATCAGTGAGCATACCAAGCTTGGTTCTTAGAGAGGTGGGATCTAAGTAATTTCAGGAGTTTTGTTGTTGCTGTTTTTGTTAGTTATACAATATGCAAGCTTGAGGCCAGAATGACTTGTTCAGAATAATGGGAACCATGGTCACTGTGAATGTGGTCTAATATATATCCAAACATCTGAATGACTCCAGGACAATGATTGGTTGTTGATATTTGCTTTTTAGGAAGAGGTTATTTCCCTTTTTCTGAAATTATGAGGACCATATATCTCAATGATAAAATTTCTGGTGAATGTCAATTTTGGCTCTTAATCCAATATAAATTATAAAATTAAAGTCTAACAAAAGTTTATCTTTTTGCCTTATAAACTTGCTGTTACAAGATGCTAAGCAGGCCAAGAAGACTGGTGCTTTACATCCAATTCTGTCTCCTTTAGACCTTTGCATATCTGCTAATGACATCATGCTGTTAAGTATGAGCGGACACTGAAGCTGTATCATAAAGAAGAAATGACTTCTCATGTTTTAACTCATGGGCCAGCTCTGATTAGATGATGATAGGTGCCCTGGTGCTCTGTGTAATAAGAGTTTTGGGACCATGTTGGAATCACCAGGAAAGAGCATCGTGATTTCTGGGAGATGGGAGGAGTGGTACATGTGTCTTGTATTGACCTCCTCTCATACAGTGTATCCTCAATTAGTGTTTCTTCTTGCTTCCATCCTGAACTCTGTGATATATTAGGCTAGTTTCTTTGAGAATACATCATTTGCATGGCACCAAGAGAGGAAAGACCATTGTTTCATAGGATCTTCTTTGTGTGTTAGGGTTAGAATGCTTTAGAAATATGTCTGGTACTATTCTTGGAAAATGCACATGGGAAGATTGGTATGTGTTTGGTGGCTGATAGTGTTTTGGAAACTCCCTTGAAGGCAATGACACTGAGAGAAGCTGAAAGTAGAGTGAAATGCTTACTTTATTATTTTGGCTGTTAGACTCTCTTCTTGCAGAATTCATGCTCAAGACTTTTGATCTAGGGGAAAAAGAACATAGGGGTTGAATAAAGTACCTTCAAATATTCATACTATGTCATGGTTATTTATAAACAGTTTTATATTTTAAAGCTATATTGTGCACTATGGTAGTCAGTGGCTATATGTAATTGTTTACATTTAATGACAATAAAAAGAATAAGTTCCTCAGTCACAATAGTCATCTTTCAAGTACTCAATGGGTGGCTAGTGACTACATTTTGGATAGCACAGAAACTTCTATTGAGCAGCCCTATTCTAAAATCTTGGCTTACCAATGGAATCATACTTAATGTTCAGGAAGGATCTCAGAAGGTTTGAAGGTGTTCATTAGAGGCAAGGACCTCCAAGTTCTGGTGTCCTGGCCTCCAGGCCACAGTGTGAACTGAGCCTACTTAGAGGCTATATACAGTTTAGATCTTTTTCTTGGTCCTCAGATTCCAAAATATTTAATAAGTGGAAAAAATTCCCAACTGTTTAAGATTTAACTTCTAAAGAGGGTCAAGAAATGCAAGTGAGGTTTTTGGCTTTAGTTTCTCACTATTTAGACTCTTCTGACAAACTCAAGGAGTAATTTTTTGAAGGGGGATTTTCTCTATCATTTCTAATTTTTATATTTATTTATTTATTTATTTATTTAGAAAGATTTTATATATTTATTCATGAGACACACACACACACACACACACATACATACATACAGAGAAGCAGAGACACAGGCAGAGGGAGAAGCAGGCTCCATGCAGGGAGCCTCGACATGGGACTCCATGATCAGGTCCTGGCCTGAAGGTGGCACTAAACTGCTGAGACACCCAGGCTGCCCTATCATTTCTAATTTTTATTTTTATTATTATTATTTTTAAGATTTTATTTTTTTATTCATGGGAGACACAGAGACACAGGCAGAGGGAGAAGCAGGCTCCATGCAGGGAGCCTGACGTGGGACTCGATCCCAGATCCCAGGATCAGGCCCTGGGCTGAAGGCGGCGCTAAACTGCTGAGCCACCAGGGCTGCCCTCATTTCTAATTTTTAATGTTCATAGTTACATCTAGTATAAGTTTGGTTTCATAATATGATAGCCCTAGTTTGTATCTGGAGATTAGTTTCACGTCTAGCCCATATAGTTGAGTTTCTATATATTTTGGGAGAGTGGGAGTAATATTAATTTTAAGACCTTTTTTGTAAAATATAAGAAATGCCCTTTTTATCAAGGTGCCAGACCACTAACTTTTTAAAGCACATGTTCCTGCCTTTAATATAAAGCCAAATAATTGGTAAGGTGATAAAAGTATGAAGGAAGGTGTGTTTCTGCAGTCTTTTAAGACTGCATTTAAAAATGGATGTGGTTTAGTAAGGGTCAACCAGATCGATAACAGAGGGGAAGGTTACATAGTGTAGGGGCTCAATCAATTCCAAATAGGAATTGGTCAGAGGGAAGTTTGCTCTGACCCCATCTGAAATGGAGTTACCACTAAAACCAGGATGTTCCTTTGTTTGCCAAAGCTCACACTTCTCTTTCAAGGAACCGAGTCTCTAGTTCTTCTTCTATTTTCCTCAAAGTTTCCTGGTACTTCTTCAAAGAGAAATAAAAGAAACTACAGTTATTAGCCAGAAACTTTATGCTCTTTCTAATCATAATATGTATGTATTACTACATTGTCACATGAATGGTTGGTATTCCCACTGCCATTTTTGTCTCCTTTCCCAGTCCCTCAGCCTCCCACAACTCCAGATCTCTCACTACACTTCACCACTGGGCAGGTGCCTACAGTTGTTGGGATTATAAATAGGAAAAATGCTCATTATTAATTTAAGAGCACAGAGCTTAGGATAGTAGGGCATTAATAGAGTGGTTTTTGTGATGGAGTGTCATCCTCCCTAAAGGCCTTTGCATTGCTATCTTGAAGAATTAAAATTGTTGCAGTGTTCTTTGAAGAGCTTGGTTTCATTTCATTCTGTACCTTAACAAACCCATTGCTATCCATTTACTGAGAAACTGTACCTTTATGCAGAGGGCCTGATCTTCACAGAGCTGGGCCACAAATGCATAGTCTTCCATGACCTCGGAAGCCAAAATTCAGTCTTAAATTTTGCTCGGTAAATTGCTATAACAACAGTAGTTTACTAAGTTTCCGCTTAGGTTCCAGGCCCTAAATGTGTTTTTCTAATTGTTCTAAATATGTATTTGCTGTATGTGTGAACTCATATCTTTTTTTTAAGGATAAACAAGCTATATTTTATAGTCCCAATGAGAATTATTTGGGGACAGTTGGGAGAAAAATAGATAATGATTTATTGATGATATAGTTTATGGAAGGTATCCTGTAAAAAATGATAAACAGAAGGTGATCCAGGGGAATATATTCACATACTCTAATACATTCCTTCAAATCTTGTTTTCTTTCCTTTGGGAAAACATTGAAGTTATTGTCATTACCTTGGCTAGTTCTTTCTCTTGGACTGCACAGGAAGCCTTCAGCTGTTGTAATTTAGCCTGGAGAAAGGGAAGGATATTGTAACTCAGCCAGGCAAAAGCAGGATTCCATTCTGAAATGGGATCTGACAGGCTATCTTACAGGTGGTTCAAGAACCTCAGGACCAATTTCAGATGCTTTTTTAGTGGAGGGGAGTCAAACTTGAGGTGAGATGACTCTTGAGTTGAATTTAAATAATAAATATTAGGCAAATAGAGATCTGGAAGAAATATTTCCCATGCAGAAGTACAGCAAGGACCAAG